AAGAGAGCTGTGGGATTTGTGTGTGTCGGTCTAGTTAATAATAACATTTACTGAATGTCTACTGTACCTGCTCCTGGGACGTCCCATCTCACGGGTGAGGACCCTGAGGCCCACGGGGTTTAACGGTGCCCCCCTCTGACTGGACTCCGCTCTTTACTGTATTTTGCACAGAGAACTTACTCATGAAAAACAGAGTGCTTAGATTACTAAACTTAAATCTATACCTGCTGCCTTCTTTTGATGACCTAAGCCTGATTTTTGACTCTGAATTTTTCTGTAACCTGCACCATAACTTGAAACACACTGAGGCACAAACGGACGAAGAACAGAACACCCAGACCATGGGTCGCACACCGCCGGGGGACCCCACGTGTGCTTCTGGAAAGCACAGATCACTTTATAAAGTGAAGTAGACGCTGAAGTTTGCTTTTGGTTTTGTTTTTGGTCGGTTTGTGTGTGGATATACTGAGGTGAAGTTGCTAAAATGTAGCCCAAATCCGAACACCTGGGATTCCCGCTTAATAATGTGGGTGTAATGCTGACCACCAGGAGGAGGGGGCTCATCGCAAGGACTGAGCTAATGCCACCACCAGCCGAGGACGTGGGTTAGTGAGGCTTACCCCACGATGCTCACTGTGGTGCCCTCAGGGCTCCAGAGACAGAGGGAAGCAAAGGCTTTTCTGGTTACCCTTCCCTGTGCGTGAGAGTCTCCGTGAGCCGGGACCCGAGTAGCACAGCTTCCTTTGCCTGCAATTCGTGTGTGTTCATCCATGTATGTTCATGCTTGTGTGTTCATCCCTGTGTATTCACCCATGTGTTCATCCATGTGTATGTTCACCCACGTGGTGCATGTTCATCAGTGTGGGTTCATTCACATATGTGTCCATCTGTGGTGTATGTTCATATGTGTTCATCCATGTGTTCACCCATGTGTGTTCATCCATATGTGTTCATCCCTGGGTTCATCCATGTGTATGTTCATCCTTGTGGTGTATGTTCATCAGTGTGGGTTCATTCACATATGTGTCCATCTGTGTGTATATGTTCATCCCTATGTGTTCATTGGTGTGTGTTCATCCATGTGTTCACCTGTGTGTAGTTCATCCACGTAGTGTATGTTCACCAGTGTGTGTTTGTGCACGTGTGTTATCCATGTGTGTTCACCCATGTGTATGTTTATCTGCGTGTATGTTCATCCATGTGTGTGTCCATGTGTTTTCATCCATGTGCATGCTCATCGGTGTGCGTGTTCATCCTTGTGTGTGTATGTTCAACTGTCTCTGTGTTCATCTGTGTGTATGTTCATCCATGTGTGTTGTGTGCTTGTATGTTGACTGGAGTCATCCTCAAACATTCTCATTTTAGAAGTTTAGCTTTACTCTGCTTACCTGTATTTCTTATATTTAACTTATTTTAAATCAGTCCTAGTTATTATGATAAAATAAAAAATCTATGTGCAACAAAATATATTTCTTAGGGTATTTCAAAAACACTCTGTGGTGCAGACCTCATAAATCTTCTATGGTTGTTGCACCCTAAGTGCTGAGGTAGGTTCTCTGGGGGGGTTGTGGGGTGTGGGCTAGCGGTCCCCGGCCGGTCGCCAGCACAGGCCCGGGTGGGCTCTGAGCAAACACTGCATCCTGGGAGAATGGCAGAGCTGCTGTGTGTCTGCCTGCCGGCAACACCGCGCCTTCCAATCTCCAGCACCAGGCTCGCCCACGGCACTACTGATCTGTGGAGGTACCGTGGTGTGTGGAGAAGGCCCTCGGCCCCTGATGGCCTGTAGGTCTACACTGAGCCGCCCAACCACCCATCCCTCAGTGTCCACACCCGGAAAATGGGCCTAACCCTTCCCACGCTTCTCTCCGAGGAGACAGTGTGTGCGGAGGCCCCTTGTGAACTGCCTTTACCCCCCCACCCCTGAGTGACTCCCGCACCTGCTTCCCAGCCACATGTATTCCAGCTCACACACCCGAGTTCTCAGCAGCTGGGACTGCTGCAGAACAAAATGAGCTTGGGAACGGAAAAGAGGGGTCCCGGGAGCATTCTCTGAGGCGGGAGACGACCACCCTCCCGAGAAGCTGGACTCCCACGGCGGTTGCTGCTCCCCCAGATAAGCGTGCCCTCCACTAAAGGAGCCAGGCCCAAGTCGAGGGCGGCTGTCATTCAGCAAGGCCTGTGGATTTACTATTGTAAACCGAGAAGGCGAGAGATTATAGAAATGAGGATTACGGGTAAGAACTGGTGCGCGGTAGACGTGGGTGAACTTCCTGCCCGGAGAACAATAGAGGCGGCAGGGTGAGCCGGCTCCAGGAGATCCTGGTCAATAATCCTCCCGCTGCCTAGCAAACTAAGCCCTAGCCAATTCTAGAAACAAGCGGCTCTTAGAGCAAAGTAATAGCGGGGTCCAAGGTCAAAATTTTAATTCTTTGATTTAAATAAATGTAGCCAAGCTGAAAAAAAGAAGTTTTGTGGTATCTGTAGCTAACACTCCTCTAAATCTCAGGTGAAAATGCCTAGGACAGAAGCCTGGAGGCTACAGAATCCACAGGAACACTCCCTAAAGGGCAGAGAGCCAAAACGTAGGGCCCCCACCACCCCCGCGGTGATGACACCCAAGTTCAAACGTCAAGAAGTAAAGGTGGAGGAGTCCTCCACAACTCCTTCTCCACACAGAGCTCACTAGTGGCAGGAACCGCGGCTGGGTAAGATAAAGAGCCGAATAATAAAGAGGTATCTAAATTTGGCCAACCAAAGTATAAATGGAAGCCAATTTGGGGGCCCATTTTTAGAGCTAATTGCCTCTGATTGAAATCGGCTTTGATTTGGCTTAAATTGGAGCCTCAGATGGCTAAAGCACCTACATCATGCCCATGTCTACAGTGATGGCGCATCTGGAAGCAGGAGAGCTCCTGGCAGGAGGATGCAGTTTCTCAAAAAAGAGGATGACAACGATGTGAGGTGACTGGCAAGCTCCTTCTGGGTGGTCCTTTCAGGTAATCTTAGCAAACGACATTTTTAGAGAAGAAACTTCCCTTCAGAGTCAGAGCCCTTGCTAGGCAGAGTTACTACAAAATCATTTTAATTTGAACAATTCTATCCACCACCCCCTCCCCCC